CGGTTTGCAAACATGCCTGCACCCAACTGCCCCGTCTTTCTCTACACTCCTTCTACATTCTCTTGACATGTCAGTGTCTTAGAGTTTCCCACGTCCTGTTCTTCTGACTAATCATTCAGCCTCTTGTGATTTTTTCAATTACTCTCCTTCACTCGGTCCCAATAAGCTAAGCCATGTCTACCTTCCTTGGGCAGCTAGATACAAGAAGGAACATGAACTTTGGAGTCAAGTAAATGTAATATTATGGACAGTTTAACCACTTCACAATGGAAGAATTTTGGTTTTACAAGATTTCTTGCCCTGGCTGGCGTAGCTCAGTGGATTGAGCTCAGGCTGCGAACCAAAGCATCACAGGTTCGATTCCCAGTCAGAGCACATGCCTGGGTTGTGGGCCACGTCCCCAGTGGGAGCCACGTGAGAGGCAACCGCACATTGATGTTTCTCTCTCTCTCTCTCCCTCCCTTCCCCGCTCTAAAAATAAATAAATAAAGTCTTTAAAAAAAAAGAAAGAAAAACACAATGCAAGGCTATAACCCTATGTTCTAAAAAAAAAGATTTCTTAACTGTGTTGAGCCTCATCTTTTTCCTTTTTCTAGTTTTTTTATTGTTATTCACTTACAGTTGTCCTCATTTCTCCCCCAGTGCTCTATCTTGTCTTGCCCCCCCATTTAATCCTCCCTCATTGTCCTTGTCCAAGGGTCAAGGGGCAAGCATAAAGAGCCTCATCTTTTTTAAAATGGCAAACAGTAGCTTCCAGCCTTTCAGGCATCTGAGGTGAGTGTCTATGGCTTCATTACAGATGAAATATGACCTTAGAGAAAGATGTCTAAAACATCTGTAAGAAGACTCACTTCAGGATCGTTGTCTAAGGAGGAAGGGGGCCTATCGGATACTGGGCTGGCCAGCCTAGGAAAGAGAAAAAGGATCTCTCAGACCCAGGGAGAGAGTGCAGTCTAAGCCAGCATGAGACACATTCCATTCATTAAATTTCTCTTATGACTTCCTGGCTGGCATAGCTCAGTGGATTGAGTGAGGGCTGCGAACCAAAGCATCTCAGGTTCGATTCCCAGTCAGGGCACATGCCTGGGTTGCAAGCCACAGCCCCCAGCAACCGCACATTGATGTTTCTCTCTCTCTTTCTCCCTCTCTTCCTTCTCTAAAAATAATAAATAAATCTTTAAAAAAATTCTCTTATGATTTTATGTTTAAAAAGTACTATTGTCTTTTCTACAGAAATGCACACCCACCCACATGTGTAATAATTAGGTGCAGGAAGAGTCTGATTTCGAACCTACAGATAGGAGGACAGATCTTGGGTCACGGTAAAACCATCAGTGACAAGGCTTCTTGGAGAAAACCACGGACTTTTAGATAGTGTACGCCTCTGCACTGGACTTCCCAAATATGCAGGCAAAGGTCAATGAGCAGATCAAAGGATGCAATGTGGGTAGAACATCCAACACTGCAGGTGTTCGGTAAGTGTGAGTCTCCTTCTATTCTTCCTTCTCTAATTCTGACTTTAAAAGACTGTCTCCCTTCTATATCTTAATGAATAATTATGTAAGCAAATACCAGAAGTGTGCAATTATAGACACAAGCACAAAGCAGAAAAAAAAGAATGAGTCAAGGTTGTTTTGGCAATTGATTACTCCAGCACAGAGCACAAACATACTTTGTTTTGGTCAGAATTATATTATGAGATAGTTGCAGGAGTAAGGACATACCACAGAGTAGGAAATCAAGTCAACATTATTGAAATTAATATCTAATAATGTCCAATAAAGAAATCCTACTAGTAATTTATGGCAAAATCCAGATTAAAATCATTTGAATAATATGAGTTTATAATGTTTAGTTCATCATCTATTAAAATCTGGATCTATCAAAATTTTTAGAAGATATTACATAGCTTTATTTCCACATTTTATGAATTTTATTGATGCATTTTATTCTAATAAAAAATAAGTGTAATAAAAGAAATAGATTAGTAAGCTGGTAAATTATGCCAATACAACTAATGGTAATGGGGGGGTATTTTGTTGGAGTTGAAGATCAGTATGACTTATTACCAGATGCTCCACTGATAAAGCTGATAATGTAATAATCAGAGAAATAAAATTCACCTAGAACTAAACAGATACTTTCATTTCAATTTATAAATTTAATTTATTCTAGCTGTACTGCATACACCACCTCCTCAATATAGGCAAAATCAATGGGACATATTATTTTGTATAACTTTTACATTACTAAATTCTACCATCATGCAAAGTCTATAGAGCATGCAAAAGAGAAGAAAAGCTCTATTGTAAAAAGTAAGATAGACCACATGAGATAAACCACTTTACATGTCTCATATTACTTCCAGTCTTTCACATTGCTCACAGTCTGTTTTATTTCGGTACCTCCAAGTCTTTCATTGGCACATCGGCATTTCAGAAGCATTGCTTACCACCATCTTCCTTCCCAGTTTCGGTCCTGCCCCTCAGCTTCTTACATACAACGATACAACCATCATCTCCCCATCCCTCATAGTTGAAACTCTGGCATCATCTTCTGTTCATTTTTCTCCATTATTCCCTCATCGCATCAAATTTCAAATCCCATTAATTCTGCTTCCACATCATCATTCCGACAGTTACTTATTAGCTCCTGCTCTCCTGACATCTCCTCTCAATCAACATAATAGCCTCCTAAGAGGCCTCAGGCCTGCTATTCTCTCCTTTTGCCATCCACTGGTGTATAGCTGTCAGATTAATTATTGAAGATTATATTAAAACTCCCATATTCAAATGCAGTCCAAATAAAGACAAAGGTCCTTACACTATCAAAGGCCCTACATGAATTACCTCCAACCACCCTTTCCAATTTTACTTTCTTGCACTCTCTCAGGATGCCAATACCAAAGTGAGCTTTGTGGTGTTCTGTATCACCATTCTTACTGCCTTGGCTTATGGAGTTTTGTTAACGTTGAAAGTCTTTTTCTCATCTCTGCACTTCTATATACCACCTATTCTTCAAGGCCTATGTCATAAATTCCCTTCCACATGAAGGCTTCAATGGTCAAGGTACCAGTTATTGAATGATTACTATACGCTAAGCACATAAAGCTCTACATGGGTTAATGCCTCCATTTCAAACTAACGATAGCCCTTACTTTTGTTTGTGGAGACAGCCTCATAGAAGAGAAGTGACTTGCTCACGGCCTCACAGAGTCAGCAGTAGGCAGACCTGTGGTTCTAACTAAAACTCTCTGACTCTCATTAACCACAGTCCCTCGCCCTCCACTTCATGCCCTCAGGAATAAATACCTTTAGTACGTGCTGGTGCCTGGATACATGAATACAGTATTCTCCTATTCTAAAACTTAATATGTCTTTCCACTATCTGGTTGATCACATGTTACACCTTCTAAGATGAAAGTCCTTCAATACTCTGTGGGGTGAAAATTACACAGAGATGTCCTTTTTCAGGTATTATTTTCCACGATGCCTCAACATGCACCTAGTACTCCGATTAGGCTCAAATGTACAATCTCTACAACTCGATACTCACGGCCACCTCTGCCTTAAGTTCCTGCTCTTTCTCTTCTATCAGCTATCACCCACCTCTTCTGAAACCATATATTCTCCTTCCTTCCACGGTCAGCTAAAATATACATACAAAGGTCTTCTGTGTATGACAGTGTCCCATCAATTAACAATTTGACAAGAATAATATTATTTTGTGCATATATTATTCCATGTCTGGGTCAGATCTCCATAAATTTCTAGAGTCCCTACAGAGGATCCTGTCTAACACAGCAAAGCTCTGAGCACAGTTTTAAGTGTACATCAGATACTTTAAAGTGATGATAGCGGGTCTTGTGAATTAAGTTTATTCTCATATAAAGTAATTATATTCATATAATTCATATAAAGTAATTAGAGTGATTAATCAGCAAAAAAAGCAAAAAAGGAAGGAGTCTACTTCTGGTGGCAAGCACACAATAGAGTATATTGTTGTATTATAAAATTGTACACCTGAAATTCATATAATATTATTACCAATTTACCCCAGTAAGTTCAATAAAAATGAGTAATAGTTTTTTAAAATAACTTATTTTTGTGCCTACTATGTAGATTCACCACAAGATGTTGGTCCCATTTTATTATTTCAACTGACAGATGCCCAATGCTATTTATTTAGATAAAATTTAGAATTAGCTTCATAAACAATGATATGATGGCCTAGGTGGTTACGAAGTGTTTCTTAGTGAATGGGTATCATCAGAGTCAAGGTCTTCCTTAACACTCACATCTCTGATGGCAACAGCAGCCCACTGCACGTTTTATAGGGCCTCGTTTCATCCACGGGACGTGTGCTTGGCAAGGACAAAAGCGCACTGTGGCCGTACGCAAGATCAGTGTGAAACCCTTTGTCAAGAGAATTTGACTTTGGACGGGTTTAACATCGACTCACATAGGCTACAACGATCACTAATTTAAGTATCGTATTTTCTGACTCATATTATTATCCTTTTTTATACTTTGTGGTGGACTACACAATGGTTCACACAAAATACCCAAACTGCATTTTTAAAACGTGAGCTCTTGCAGAGACTGAACATGGTCTGCTCATTCTGTTTCTGTTATTGCTTACCCTCCGCTCCCGGCCTGAAATGGACTGCAGCGGACCCCCGGACCCACACGGTCAGACTGAAAGAGCTATTCTTATTTTTCCTAAATAGCCCCATAACCCTCTCCCAAGGGAAGGGCAAGTGCTATTTATCCTTAAAATGCATCTCTTTAAATTCTGCCTGTGTTTAAAAAAGACAAATCCTAGCCAGTTTAACAAGATATTTAATTAAACAGAGTAAGGGTCAATACCATTCTGAAAGGAACATTTGTCTAAGCCAATTGATCAGATTTGCCTTTGATAAACCCAGACTTCCCTAAGGAAAGTCACGGTTTGGGCCCCTGGGGAGGTGGAAGAGTAAGAGGAAATTACAGGTCACATACATTTCTGTGATAGTCTCAGGCAGATTCGTGGGAATCTCAGTGAGACCTTTCCCACGACAGTCTACGATATTGTTGCTACAGGTGCAAGCAGCTGGACAGTGCAAAACGCTGCAAGAAGGAGCCATAAAGGACTGGTGACCTGAAAAAAACCAAAACACAAACAGCAATTACATTTTCCCGCCTGAACTTCATAATTATGAAACATACAAGCTCATCTCAAATAACAAAGCAGGTCAAATACAGTGCTCCAAATACCCAATTATAAAATGGCCCTATATTTCTAAAGTATATTTAAGGAAGCAGACATTTATATTTTGGGGGGCCAACACTGTGATGAGGCAAATAAGATTTTTAAAAGGAATTACAACTATGATCATATTTTTTAAGACTTGAAATCATTGTGAGAAATGCTATATTCAGATTTGAAACTAGAATTCTACTCAAAACGATTCTGAGCTCCAGAAAAGCATCGACTTCAGACCAAACCATGTTTCATTTAGAATAAGCTTAAACAGAGCTTGGTCTCTGCTCAGCCTATACAGCTCAACTTACTTTACCTCAAAAGTAAAAATTTCCCTCTTGGTAGACATCCCTGTTGATTTTAAATAAGTAACCACGTGGCAATAAATGTGGGAAAAAATTAGACCATGCTAAGTTTAATGTCTGCATAGTTGCAAAAATGGTCATTTCCTTTGAAGTTATTATAATACTTTGTAACACTCCACTCTGTAATTGTTGGTATGTTTCTGGCTGTGGCTTCCCATCGCCTAAAATGTTAGCATAAGTATTTGTTTCCTGCAGGTAGATAACGTCATTGCTCACTATTTGGAAACACAACTATTTTCAAATGAGATTTTGCTGCTGGAAAGCTGAAGAGTAGTATCAGCAGTACTTTAGCAAACAGCCATGTGCACACAGGTGGCTACCGGGGCGGGGGAAGGCCTCTCCCCTCTGCAGGGAAGGGGCCCCTCAACCAGCCCTCAGACTTGACAAAAACAGTCTAAAAAAAGAAACGTGAACTTGCCTTCTGGCTCATCTAGAAAACAGGAAGGGAAAGTGAAGAGAGAAAAACGTGGTTAGTAACAAATTGTTAGTCATTTCATTATTTAATTGTTTAAAAAAAAAAGCAATCAGGCCTATTGAGAACATTCCATGACATTACCCGAAAAATTTTTTTGAGTTATAAAAAATGCGGGAAAATACATAAAAAAGGACTAAAAGGTGACAATCACTTAGAATCCTATACTAGCACATCTTCCCACTCCCTTAAGAAACGGTTAACTATTTATAAGGCGTTACATATATTATTAAGGTGTCTTTTACAGTATTCGGGCAGTCACTTCTAAAGCAGAACCAGCCCTATATTTATAAAGCAAATTATATGTTAATATGGATCAAAATAATATTAACATATAATTTGATAAATACAGTATACATATCTATCTATCCATGGATTGGCTCAAAATACTCCATTTTTTTCATAATATTACATTTTTCTACAGTTGTTATGAGGAAGGTAAAATGAGGTAAACATGTTTGAAATACTTAGATTGGTGCTTAAGCACATATAAAGAACTAAGTAAATGTTACCTGCTGGTATTTTAAACAGCCCATGTCTTATTTTTGTTTTCAGATTTCTGATCCTAAGGCTAGCCATGTATCTCTTTTAAGTAGAACTGAACCCCTAGTATATATGTATACACAGAAAGCATTCTGTCACTCTACAACTATAGTGGAGTTACTTTTTGAATTTCCCAGCAGAGATCCAGGATTAATTAATCATATTTCCAGTTGTTAACATAAAAGTAGATATAAATGATTACTTAAAGGGAAAATAATGAGTAGCAAATAGACCTAAAATCTAGGGATTTCCTATATTTCCCCTGGAGTGAAAACTGAAAAGTCTTTCATCATACCTTGGGTATAAGTAATCAGTAATTACGAACCATGCACAAATGTCTTAGAACATATTATTACCATCACTAAAACAGAGGATTTCCATAGAGTGATTAGTGCACAATTGCACGTTAGTGAGAAACACTGAAATCCTTAAAGCATGCGTTTTTCACAGTTTCCTTAACATACGGCATAGAGTCAAACGACATAAACGTCCTCCCTCTCTTACCGCTGCAGACAAATTCTCGTTTCTGAACCTCAGCGACATTGTGGCCCCTCAGGTGGGACGGGCCCATGCACTGGGTGTAGAGGCCCACCCGAGGCCTTTGGCGCAGCCAGTCCGAGAGCCAGGCCAGGTGGCAGTCACAGTACAGGTTGTTGGAATGCAGGCGACTAAACAAAAGGCAAGAAGTGTAAAGCAAAAAACAAAACAAAACAAAACCAGAAACAGTTATTTCAAAACCTGGGAAATTCTTGAGCAATAATAAGAAGCTTTATTTCTTAACATATGACCAGATACAGCACAGCAAATTTCGACGGAATCATTTATCTAAAAATTAAACAGGTTTACGAGCACAGAATCAAGTCTCTAGTCTTTTATCTGCGAGCTGAGCAAATACACAGAACCTGCAACAGGGCTGTGAAAATGTCCTGGCTATGTTCATTCAAAAGGGTGAAGGAAAACGGGAAGTTCGAGGCAATTTGCTCCGCAGTCCAGACACACTGACAGCCAGTAGGGGCTGGGGAACGGGAGGTAAAACATGGAATAGGGCTAGGAGGCCTGTTAATAAAAGTCAGTCATACTCCCGGTTTGAATTATTAGTTACTCCTCTCATTATGAGTCTCTGTGGAGAATGCTTGCGAAATCTTTTCAGAGAGGGTCGCTTTCATTTTTTCCTCAACCAGATAATAATAACTCACTATAAAACACTTCTTTCAGATCCCTATTCTGATTTCCTTCTTTTTGTGTAATATCACAAAAAGGGATCTCCAGCTTTCGGCTCTTGGGGACCTATCCTCAAAGAGTGGAAACTGGAACTAAAAGACATAAATGGCCAGGAGTGGAGGAATGAAGTGGGCCCCCTCGGTGTTGGCAGGAATCCACCCCAGATCGTGGAACCCATCCAAGTGGCAAATAGCACTCCTCCATTAATAAAACATCAGACAAATGTATCCACTAAATTAGGCAAATGACTTCAAACTGGCTTTTACGTTTTCTCAAACTAAAGAAAAGGACATCCAAAGCTATAAATCAAAGCCTCATTCCCAGAATCACCTATGACATAGTAATACCATTTTAGCCCTTTTTAGCTGATGTGCTCAATTCTAACCCAATAACAGTAATGGATATTAAAACAGGGAACTCAGTCCAGAAAGATAATTGTACCATAAAAATGGAATTTTGAAGTAGCAGTGATAATGCAGAATGACGACACAACCAAAGCAAGGGAATTTAAAGTTAGGGGACTCTGTGGCATTCTCCTTGAGCTTGCAGCTATGGAACAGTCTTGCATCAAATCTAGGTGGTAAGACACAGGACAAAAAGCTACGTTTTGGGAAAGCTGGGAGACCTCCGGCTCAGTGTGCACGGAAGACAGAGGGGCAATCTTTGGAAGCGAAAAAGCACATTCCCCGTTCTTGTTCTCTAAATATTTCCACCTGAACCAAGCACGTCACCGTGATCCAGTTACACGCGCATCAGCGATATCAGAAAAGGAAAATGGAAAAACCCGATTAGTACGAGAAACGGTGGTGGATTTCTATGACAGAATAAGGCACACTATCAAAAATGCAGATGATAAATGATTTTACAGTCTTAGTGGCTTTATGTTGCAAAAGAATGAAAGTTTGATCGATTTTTTTAAAAAAATCAACTACCTTTGATGAGAAACCAATTTCATTAAATATAGCTTGAGTGAACTGAGCTCTTAATTTGGTCAGATTATCCAATCTGATAGCCCCCAAGAAAACAAAATTTAGTTATGTCTGCATACTTTTAGAATTCTTTTATTTTACTAAATCATATTCCAAGAATATTATCATGATGGATTATTGCATAGAGAGCTACATGTGAGAAAAAAATGACATTAAGATTTGTATTGCCTAATTATTAATATCCAGCAATTGAATATATTTTTATTAAAAAGAGAAAAGAATGTAATATATCTAGTTATCAGCTGTTATGAAATAAAAAATATTTTGAAAACCCAATAAATATATGCATCCTACTTAAAAACATACTTTCTCAAGAAGCACAGTGCTTTGGTTACATTTCTCACTATTTCTCGCACACTGTATGTAATACAGTTTTTTAGGTCAAGCTAATTCTGAAACTGAGTTCAAATGAGATTTATCTCTGAAAATGCTTTCAATAAATATCCCCACCCAGGGCTTTAACGATTAATTTTTTCTCCATTAGAAAAAACATATAGCCATAGAAAATATTTTATTGGAGAGCCATTTTATTCACCTAAAATATTTTAATGTCCATCTGCAACCCTGAAAAGGTATTTTTAAATAGAAATGCTGACACAACCTTAATTACAGAAACACTAGAAGGTGATGCTGTAATTTTATGTTACAAAGAACGCTGGAGAGCTAGTTTAGCTTTATTAGAGCTGCTTGACATACAGTAATAAAATCATAAAGATTTACCATTTATCACTTCTGACAGCCCATCACGGGGCCTCCCATTTCTTAATGAAATCTGACCTCCACGACGGCTCGCAGTAAACTTTCCTCCCCCAAACTTCCCGGAACACATAACACTTAGAAGACAGCTTTAGAGTTTTCAGAATAATTTACTCAAACACCATCTTTAGAACTTCAGTAAATCTGGTGTTTCCCTTGTCTTCACCATAATGAATGATTTGTCCTTTGCTTACTAAAAATAGTACTTAAGGGGAATGCTTCATTGATTAGATTGACCTTTATATATATATATTGTGGCTACTTACAAAGTCCTAAGTTTAGGCATATGGTTGAAACTTGCCACAGAAAGTCTGGTAATGTTGTTATTGTTGAGAGTGCTGTAGGATTAAAAAAAACAGTTAAAAATGTTAGATACGAAATATATTAATCATTGTATATGTGAATATAAAGAAAGCATCTAGTGAATATGTTTACACAAATAGTTGTTTTAACTACCTGGTAGAGATGGCATAGAGAACAAGATGATTAATAACTTTTGTACTTGAATATATCACTATGCATTCAGCTTTATCAAATATTTACTACAAATTTATGGCCTTGGCTGTAGTATCATTACTATTTGCATGTTGCTTGATGCGCCGTGAACATGCATGCATGTCTGTTTATATGATAAATGAGCATAAGACAGTCACAGTAGAAACAGTAAGGGGTCACACGTCCACGGAGAGGTATTGTGTGTAATTAGCGTCTATGAGTAAACGAACACATTTGAACGCTCCACTGAAATCTCATAGCAATAGCACAACATCACTTCTCTTAGGTCCTGAGACAGAGTCCTGCTAATTATTATTTCCTGTAGACATTAGCCATTGTTGAAATTCAGTAGTAAGAACAGTATCTATATTTGGTGCTTGCCTTGGGTGGGCATGGAGTGACATTCTGTAGCAGTATATTAAAAGCTTACCATATTCTAAGTGTTTATGTGCAGCCTCACATACTGCCCCTTTTTTAAGAGCTATGTGGTGCTGATCATGGTTTCGTGAAGCTAGAATAAGTCCGAGGTGGTCACCTTTGCTAAAAGTAAGTATGATTCTTGCTTGGTCCAAACTTCTCCTCCTTTTCCCCTAACAAGCATTGTTGTGTTATTACCATTTCTAGTGCCACTTCTCTAAACATTCATTCATCTGATACTTCCTGAATGGCTCTTATTTTTATGGCAACGCAAAATATAAAAAATACATCCGGCATATAACTTACATGAGCATAGCGAACAGTCCACTGGTGAGATGAATTACTCAAGTTACAAAAACTTAGAGCTAATGAGAATAAGAAGAGAATTTTTTTTCTCCCTTTGGAGACATCTGGTTGCAAGAAGAAAATGCAAAGATCGTTATCCCGAGGTTGTGTGAGTGTGGTGTGGAGGCAGAACATGGTTCTAGCAGACAGAAGATACAGCAGGCTGTTGACTAAGCTGTGCAAGGTGCTGAAGGAGGCAGAAAACATGGAATCAACAGTTCAGGTGGATACCTTGGGTGTCGGAGAAGGGCTTGAATCAGAAGTCGCAAATTCTCTTGCCTACCGGGGCCAGGCAGGGAACCTACATCAGAGGAGCAGGCTGGATGTACCAAAATAAAGTGGGGAAGAGAGACGGGGAAGAGCAGCAGACAGCTGGGAACGAGGAGAACCCTGCGAAACTGGCTCTTCTTTGCTGTAGTGTCAATACTCAGTGCCAAGGGACTACGGCGCTGCTGTCATGGAAGGCTGCCAAACCCTCCGTTTTTCACAAGAGAAGCTCGAGTTGGAAATTTTGAGATCAATCCTCCCAATTTTTAATTTTTAAATACTGGCAACCAACTCCATTATTTCAGAGTCTGTGGGCCAAGTCCGTTTGGGCTAAGCAATTAGCCCATTTGGAAGGCCGAGTTAGGCTAGTCAGTGGCTGCAGTTGTTAAGGGTGGGATGCGGGGTGGTCGGGGTCGAGAGATCAACCAAAACTCCTTGGTAAAGTGGGGCACTCGGGCTACACATCAGGAACGCGCACCGACTCGCTTTACTCTCCAGTGTTGCAGCGTATTGAATGATATGAGAACTAATCCAAGTGATCTGAATGAAGTCACACGGAAAAAAAGCCCACTTTATGAAGGACCTGTAAAGCTCCAAAGTGGACGGCTCCTGTTGTCTAAGTGCCTGTAGCATTTTCCATGCACACAAGTGAAATGAGATTTTTTTTTCTCCAAACGCCATTAAAACATATCCTGACGTTTGCACTAAAAGGTTTCGCTTCTCAAAGGGATTTGCTTTCCCGTGACCCTTTTACCCACCCTAAAAATTTATGCTGACTTTATAGAGCAAAAATCTGTAGAGGACACAGCATACTAAAACGTGACTTTGAGGGTAATATATATTTAAAGTAACTCAATGCAGCAGATACATGCATTCATTTGGAACTATAATTTCTTCAGATTCCACACAAAAGAGAATTTCGCTTAATGCCGAAGCTGGTAGCTATCAATCTGAAGTCTTCTCGCAAATGTCAGTTTGCTTAATGCAAATGAAGACAAAAATTACCTTAGTATTTTTTTATAGCCTAGACATTTTTTTTCACAGAGGAATAAAGTAATTTAACAAGATTCATTCAATATATTAAATCAGATTTTTTCTTTTTTATTGATGTTGGCAAAGCAATATTGATATTGATACATGGAACCAATGAAATTTTACTTAAAAATTGACAATAAATACGTGTTGCTTAAGTATGATGACATGTTCACATTAAGGTCATGAAAAAGTCTATTTCTGTGTTCAATGGCAAGATTTTTCTCTTTGTAATGAGAACGTATTCTTGTACATAGGACATCTTGGTATGTAAATGTAAAACGTTAGCCTTGCTAATTACGTAGGCCCTTTTGGACTTAGATTTTGACTTATTTATTTTTTTTTTACTCCCTTAGTGCCAGGCATAGGATCTGGTCTGATATTTAATGCATATGAACCATCATGTTTCAATTAAATTAAATTGTGTGCATTCTACAGAGAAGAAAAAATAAACCATCTAAAACCAGTAGCTCAAGTGATATATTTTATTTCCGATTCTAGCAGAAAACAAAAAAAGAGAAAACATGGATCTAGATTTAATTTCCAATGTCATTTTTGACATGGTATCTTCATATTCAGAAAAAAGTTAAGTTCTAAATCCCACCAACCAGAATTCCCCAACAAGGCCACAAACATACAAGTGATAAACTGCCTGCTTTCTTTCACCTACCTCAACTTCACCTTCTTGAACTTTCTTTGCTCTACCTCATATGTATCCTGACCTACCAAGTTTTCATCAGTGCCCCTGGGTCATTACTCCCATCTTTTCTTTGGCCTCAGTATATACATACATTCATAAACGGTTCATGGAATTAAAATTTTTAAAAAATCTAAATCACTGGGAATCTGAAACTTAAGGTAATATGCAAATTAATGTTCCTTCAGTATTTCCATTTAATGAAATAATATAATCCAAGAGAGCTATGGTTGGTAAAATAAGCAAAGCAGAGAACTTGGTTTCTAAAACCCTTCAGAAGTGAACTTTATCAAAAAGCTCCTGACCAAATGTTTATAATAGGAGAATTTCTGATTTATGTAACAAGATATTTGGGCTTAATAAATTCCAATGTTTTCAGTACTTCATCCAATTTTTCCTTAAATTTTTCATCAGTTTCTTTCCAGGTTATATAAATTATAAGGATTTAAAAATCAACGTATTTTAAAAGAATATGTGCTTGACTTCATAAAATTTTTATATAAAATATTTAAATTACTTTGAAAGAAATTCATATTTTCTGATAGCATGTGCTAATTTTATTTATGTATTTATTTTTTGCAGACAAACTCTGATCATTATGTAATTCTTTGAGACCTACATATTAGGTCCTCAAAAGTTTTTCAACAGTTTCAATTTTGATTTTAATTCCATGGACCATAAACTGTTCATCACTCTTGGGTGTGTATATGACAGTAGGTCTTTCTGAAGTCACTTTTTAGATATTTTGCTAACACAACATACAAGATGAATGAGGTGACTACGATTCATGAATTCGCTGCTTCTGAAAGCAATGATATTTGTCTATAACAAAGCAAAGAAATAGTTATTGTATTTTAGGGTAAAAGGTTTTTAATGCCTGCACAGTGCTTGGTACATGGCGGGTTTTCTCTGTCAAATACACTCTCTGCACTTCTCCACATATGTAAATATATAAATATAATTATTCATATTCTCTCCATAGAGTACTTAACATAACTCAATATATTAAATATGAATTATTTCATATCAAATATTTATTTAAACTCTGTAACAAAATACTTTATGGAATTTTAATTTATCCAAAATACTCAGCAAAATTCCCACAAAATGACTGGTATCATCCGTATTTCTAGTTAGGAGCACTGATTTAACATCAATTTTTTTTTTGACTCGATCAGCTCTGTTGAATTAAATAAGACCTGCCGTGGTCTCTTCACATACAAAATGTAGTGGCATGGGCTACGTTCTTGACATCAGACTAGCATCTTGAAATCATGGTTCTATCCTAATTAATCTGACTCTGCATTATTAGCATCAGTGAGTTTCATATGTTAAAACTGGCTCTGGAACACAATTTTAAAAGTGACCTTAAAATGTGTCTGATGAGCACTTTGAATGTTTTTTTCTATATAAAAAGTTAAGACTGTTGTCAAAAGAAGCAAAGGTGACTTTTCCTGCTGTGGAAAACAGCATGCATCCTCAAGGCAGAGTCTGTCTCACTAAAGTCATTCTTACGTAAGCCTTTAAAAATAATAACATCACCTGACACAGCTAGAGATTCTATTCATTTACTCACAAAATCAAAATCATACAGAAGATATTGCTAAAATACATCATTCTGCCTGAAACATTAAACGTTTTTTTTCAGAACTGCATCTTGTTCCTCAAACTGAATTTATAAAGCAAATGGAATCTTTCTTTTTTCCGGAGGATTTTTTGATTCCTGATAACTTTTACCACCTGCACTCAACATTCAAAACTTCTTCACATGTAATTCAGTTTTCGATTTCTGAACAGAGTCAAGGATGAATTAGAGCACAGAAAAACATTTTATAAGGGGGAGCAATGTGTAAGTATGTTTAAAAAGCTGGAAATGCTACTCTCCGACTGCTGGAAAAAAAACCTCAGCAACGTACAGATGGCTGCACTGGCTTTTAGTACCTCTAGTTTTTATCGAAATCATTTGTATTGTAACTAATAATTTAATTTACATTATGTTACCAAGTCAAAGATCTGTAGAGGTTACTCGGTTGTCTCTAACACATTTTGTCAGTCACGTCAGCCCAGCAAGGAAAAGGAGAAGATGCCAGTTACCATCCAAACCACTGTGTAGTGCTGGACCAAGTCAGTACTGAGGACTTTCAATGGGCCCGGTGGGCGGCTCATTAAAATTAGACCATCGCCTTCAACATGGCCTTACGAAATCGATGTTAAGTTACCTGGTTAAAAATGACGTTTTAAAATGAGAAAAAACTCTTTCTATTCCATAGCAACTGCAAACCGTATCAACGTATCAGCTACTCAGAGGTTTATTTTCTGTTGTTATGGTTTTTCCTATACAACTCATGGTACCCTAATGTTTAGCCATTCTAGGAATGCTCACAAATTCCGTGAATGAGACTATTTTATTATAAGAAAAAAAACCACTGCAAGGACATTATGTGTAAACATTTGAGTGCGCTTCTTAAATAGACAGTGTTATCTAAACCTACAGACACGACACACGAGGTTTTCCACACACATTTGGACTCGTCCTTGTTTTCACCGTGAGTTAAGGCGTCTCTTCAGGAGACCATGCTGACACTAGGTTTTAAGCTAGCGGAAAAGCTGCCACATGAGCACTCCCCAGACACAAGGCTCCGGTGAGGAGTAAGAGAATGAAGAGATACTCACAGCACTTCCAGATCCCGGAGAGCCCGAAACGCCCCATCTTCTATACAGCTGATCTGGTTGTAATCCAGCTGCCTGCGAAACAGAGGGGAAGAATAGATGTAAAAGGCTGAAGACTTGCAGGGTTACGGGGAAGGAAGTCTCCTGAAGGGTCTAGGGAGCCCTGGCTGCGCTAACTGAAATGCTCTCACAAATACACTCATCTGCTTAGGAATGTCACGAGCCATTCTGGCCCCGGTGCCGCCACTGAAATCTCTTTTTGTTCTGGACTGTCTGTGCAAATAGCAGCCCTCGGAAAGCTCCTGTAAATAATAACTGCACCTTATATTAAATGCCATAGGAATGCAATTTCATTACATCAAGAAAAGCTATCCATTAAGAGCTTTCAGCGTCATCTTGCTGAAACAATTTCATTAAGGTAAAGGACTGTAAATCACTTAATGTCACAGGCACCCCCTCAGTGACCTAACAGAATCCATTTATCAGAGAAGCCCAGCTGCATGTTAATTTCACTATCCTTGGCAAGAAAGAGCAAGACTACTTTTAGGTTTTCTTCTTTTAAAAGCAGTTTTCCTTCGAGAACTCCAAATCAAGGAAGAGAAATGAGGTCCCATATATCTCCCCTGCTAGCTGCTAGTCCCAACCAGGAATACACTTTAGAAAGCTAGCAGTTGTTCTATTTGAAGCTTCGCTATTCCCATAATTTGCACTGTTGATCATTATTTGAGAATTCTCTGCACTGGAAAAACGGCACACTTTTCACTTAAGGAACTTCCCAAATTATATACTACTCTCCAGGAAGTAAGGTTTTAAAGTATTAGGAAATCAATGAAAATTTTTGCTTTTCCGAAAGATGCCAATTTCAGCCCCAAACACTACAAAGCGTATACTGTGGCATCATCATTAAAACAATACCTACATCTACGGTAAAAAGTTCCAAAGCTGTATCAGTTCTTTCTAAATAACACGAAATTCAAGCAAATAAATCTTCTTTTGTAGTTTAAGTACTCATTTGTTAAAATTCAAATGTTTTATTTTTTAAAAAAAAGGCTGCTGAACTTGGTGAAGCCTGCTTTTTTTGGCTGCTTGTTTTTGGAATTAAAACTTCCTATGTACACTAAGGAATTTGCTTGGTTAAAATGAACTGCTAAATACTAAATCCGATCAGTCCTACAAGCAGTGTTTGAACCTAGTAGCTTGGTGCTCTGTGATATTATTATGCCAGTAAAGAAAAAGTATTTTAATGCTTCACTTGAGACAGAAGTGGAATATTTGATGAAATAATCGGGCGAGTTGTCAGCTCTACACGAAGATGTACAGGGATAGGACTGAGATCAGAGCACAATTGAATCTTGACCTTGTTTCCAGTTTGGGATTCGCCCAACGCGCTAATTCATATCCGAGTTCTGTTCTTAAAACAACTGTTTAAACATTCCCGTAGAATAGCTGTTTCTCTCACAAAACTACTGAGAAAGGGTGCAATGATTTAATCTAAAGGGGCCTCTTTGAATTCCTTACTTTGGAATTACTGTACCTAGCAAGCGTCTCATGCAATAATACATCTCATTTTTAGGAAGGTCTCTAGGGCACACAGTCATACAGGAGACTCCCTTGATGTCGTGCAAATGTTACCATCTGGGACCCACAATATAAAAAAAGGTGAACCTTAGAGATGATGCAATTTTATTGCTTTCATAAACAAAGGTTTTTCCCAAATAACAGCTACCATGCTACTGTAATAGCCTAAAGCATTTCTACTTCTCGGGAAGTTATGTAGAAGTGTAATTTTATTTTCTAAGAAGATTTTAAAGCCTCATGATATAATACGGCTGCGGTGGTTCCAAGAAAACACTTAACATTCTTGAGCACTTTTGATTTTTACAGATTAAATTCATTTAACAATTAAGTTAATAACCTTTTATTTTAAAGTGCTAAATATATATCTACGCTATTATTCTCTAACCTCTTGAACGATTTATCAAAGCCATTTAAATTAGTACAATGGCATGAAGTGTTACCCTTGACACACTACAAAAGAGAAATTGTTTCCAGACAAATTGGCAAAATCTTTTAATGCTATCAAATTTGCCTAATGCAGTCTCCAGGTTAATCTGTAAAAGGGTGAGCTGTATGTTTGCCCATATCTTAATATCCTGAGCTGTCAATGTATAAATCAGTGCTGACACAGCTTCTTTTAAATCATGCGCACTATCCACAAAGGGGAGGCCTCAGCATGCCAGAAAGCACTCAAGCAAATCTTGTCCTACAAGGACTGAAAGGCAGATTACCTTCTGTCTACCCAGAAGTTGAGACACTGCTGAAAACTTTGGTAATTTCACCCCTCTTAAGCATTGCTCCTGGTTACACGCTTCTGATTCTTAGCAGAAATTCAAGCTTTTATTGGTGCTAAAACATTAAGACTCCTTGGCTCTCGTAAACCCAGAGGTTTCCTTAAAAGTTTTCTGAATGCCATCATACCTCTGTGCACATATCTTCTAAGAACAAAGTTACTTTATGAAAAAAGTGGCATAGGAAAGGCCAACCAAAATCAGAATGAACAGTTTTTTCATCAATTGGTGGATTTCATTCTATTCAAAGGAATGTTTATGGAAAGGAGCGGTGCCCGCAGTACTACTCATGAGAAAATCTCTCTGCATAAACCTCCATTTGTCTGCATATGGTTCAAGATAAACAGTGTCAAAACTATGCAGAAGAGTAATTTATTTCAGGGGTTCTGGACTATTTTTCTGCACCTCGTTTTTCTCGCCGGCTCACTTCCTTCTCCACCACCTCTCAAACTCTGGGCACTTCTGCTTTCTGTAAACAGAAGAGGGTCTGTTTTCGGGCACACATTCAGAGACAGGCTGCCCCGTTTAGATGGGATTTCCAACGGTGCCGTGAAATTATTCTGAATTAAGGAATTAGTAAGAGGGAAGTTGGTGGCTTGTTTTTTTGTTTTTGTCTCTCCTCCAAAAAGTAATGTCACAAGTCTTCAGCTGGACACGGTGTGAATTGGTTGGTCTTTGCACGATAGGGTACTAGATGCTAAGGCACAGCTTTCAGATGCTTTCCTGGCCCAGAGGCCACTTCCCTGGGGGAAGCAAGTTACCACTTTTCTTACTTTCTGGGAAGAAGAAAATGGTATAGATAGTATTATCGGTAGTTTCTCAGACTGGCAGCTGACATGTTTTAGCACAAACTTGTGTGTCTTCCCTTTATTTTTCTATTTCCAATCCTCCTCTTTCTGTTTAAATTCCCGATTCCCTCTCCATCTGGTCCACTGCTGTTCTACTTTGTAAGGGTCTTTGGATGCAATTGCTTTACTTTTAATTTCATGATACACAATATTAAAAAGATTAGAGAATCTTCAAGATCTCTCTTGGCATTAACCTTCCATAATTCTGTCTTCAGTGATAGCTACTCTTCTGATGTTTTGAAATAACTCTAGATGACCATTTAAATTTTTCCTAGTACTGCCAAATTTTGTCTCACACAATGTGCTCTGTTTTTACTTAGAAATGTAACTCTGTGCCTCACAAACATAAAATTTCTAGAGCTGATCTGGTTTTCTTTAACACTAAAAATAATTTAGCTTAGTTTCAGATTTTGATAAATTCTAGGTATGAAAGAGAATATGTAATGTTGCTAAATATAAAATTTTAAAGTAGGTATATTAAATGACAAAAAGTGAAAATATTGCTAACTTGGCATCCTGGAATATAGTTGGATACATTGGATTTGGTTACTTTTAACTTTTTTTTTCCATGGAGTTCCTTTTTAAATTTTTAAAGTTTGAATACCACATGTTTAGTTAGACATATAAAATTCCCCTTCCTAAATTAACCTCAGTTTTTTCATTACCCAAAGAAAATTTGCATTTCATTTCAGCATCCAAACAATACCTTATTGCTAATTGATTTTTGAAAGAATTAGAACATAATGAACTATTCTTTACTCTGAAACAATATTGAACATAAAAAATCTTTAATAATTTCTAAGGTGGGCAGGTACCCTCCATGTCTCAATAAAATTCTTATGACTATGCTTTGGAAAAAAACTGTTTTTCTAGTTTTCTTTAAGCTACAAGAAATAGAAGTTTAGTATATATTACTATTGTAAGATTAGAAAATTCAAAAATTCAGGTGACTTAAAATGCATCAAAGTAATAAGGATCAATCACTATGAGGGAATACTACAATCTTGCTATTTGGAAACAAAGAAAGAAAAAAAGAAAAAAATGCTGTTTAGGATATGGGCATGATGTGTTCTATCTTTTCCCTTGCATGTACAAAATTCACATCAATAAGAGTGCCTCATGATACCAATCTTACACAAATCACGATCACTTAAGAAGTAGTTCAAGATATGAGTTATAATGAATAGAAGCATAAGAGTAATACGAACTGAGCCATATCAATAAATAGCCTAGACAGAAGCTGCAGTGACTATACCAATGACTTCAGCATAAAGCTCATCCATGTTAACCCGAGTATTAGTGGAGAGAGTAATCAAGATAAGAACGAGTCTGAGAAATGCAAAATAATTTACATTATTTGGGAAATTACCCTTTTGCAGTCTTTCAAGCAGTATTTCATTTTTCTCATAGGAATTCAGAATTTCAGTTTTTATTGAAATAATCTATGGTATAAAGTTATATCCAATAGTTAACTTATTGGGAGGAAGCAAAAGGTACCTTTAGGAGTAATGGTAACAGAAAATGGATGAAAGACAACTAAGCTGACCTTCATGTTCTGGTAACTCCTAAGCACAATAATCAAAAATGGTAGAAACTGAAACTGACTATAATTGTAAACACTTATGATTAATCAATATTTGGTCCTATTCAAAATATCCATGGAGACATTTGGGCCAAGCCAAACCATGTGCCTAACCCAGCGATGTTCAACCTTTTTCATCTCATGGCACACAAACTAATTACAGGCACTAAAATTTCTGTGGCATACCAAAAAACATACTTTTTGACAGTCTGACAAAAAATTAGGTATTTTTAAAATTCATTCACACCAAACAGCTATTGTTGTGTTGGCTGTTGTCATTTTTTATTTTGAGAATCT